TTTATTTATAAGTAAAATATTTAAACATCGTTTATTATAATAAAATAAGACCAACGTAACACGCCCAAAGTTTTGTAAATGGAGTAAATATAAATAGGTACTTAAATGATGGCAAAAATAAAAGACATACATTATATTTTTAGGGCCACAAACAAAAGGAATTGTCTAATAAAAACACATATAACAAATTATAGTTTGAAAAACGTTTTGATGATCATTTTTGATAATATTATGATTGGCGCTATGACAACGACAATATCTTTTGAGAATTTGACAATAGTATGACAATGGCCGTTGGAAACTATGGAAACTACAAAAAAAATCTGATTGAACGCCATCTGGCAATAACTAGTAGCAACTTCTTAACCTAAAAATTAATTGCACTACCACCTAGCGCCCGAGGCTGGAACTATTTTATTTGAAATTTCCGTTGAAACGGTGGAACCGCTTTTGCTATTTCACTTTCCGGCCTCTGGGTTCATAAGGATAATTTTACTCGAAATACCAAGTGTATGGTACCAAATTATTGGAAAAAAATGTTTTTTTCCAAATATGCTAACGAGCCACACTCGTTCCATTTGAAAGAATTGAGATATGATTAAAAATACGATTTGGGTATCTTTTAACTGACCAGAGGACACGAGGCTTAAAACATTAGACGATCAAATCTATTTTTCTAAGGCTCCTTGATTAAAAATTAGTGTTTTTAACACAGCCGTGGCACTCATCTAGATTGAAATTTAAAATACGATTTTTTGGAGCGAAAATGTCAAAATGTGACATGATATTTCATTCTACTCAGAGTGTTATTTTCCATCGAATAAAGTAGAAATATACCGAGGATGTCATTTAAAAATCAAAAGTTGTAGTCATTTTCGGTGAACAGGAAGTGGCCGAAAAGAATTGAATACGTCAATCAACAACAAACAAATATATGTTGTTTTTATTATACACTCTAGATCGAAATTTAAAATACATTTCTTTTCAGCGAGAATGTCAAAAGTTGACATATAATATGTCATTCTATTCAGAATATCATTTTCTATCAAATAAAGTAAAAAAATACTAAAGGTGCCATTTAAAAATCAAAAGTTGTAGTCTTTTTCCGGTGAAGAAGGAAGTGACCGAAAACAATTAAATACGTCAATCAATCCTCGTTTATGTCATATACTATCATACCAGATCTCGTTTTTTATCTAAAGAAATAAAAAAGTTATAGGGGTGAGCCACTTTTGAGACGCACCCGGTATATATTTAGATAAATAAATGCGTTTCATGATTTGACAAATTATGATAATTATTTATCAAAGAATACAAACTTTTTATTTTTCTTTTTTCTTTTTTTTATTATGAAATGGTGTTACACTTTGTAAAATAATAATTATTTCTTTTATTCAAAGGTAAAGCAGCAACCACAGTCTGTTTGGTAAAATATTATGACATTAATAATATAATAGGTCTATGAAATTTTAATTTAAATATAATATATTTCTTCGACTAATTTCTTGTTGTGGTTTGTCGAGAAAATATAAATTCTGTTCCCAATTAGACTGTAATCACATTCGATAAAATTTAGAAAAATGTATTTCGAAGCCTTTCAGATACTAATGCAGTACAAGGTCTTTAAATATCGATCATTTCTTATTATTTTATTTAGCTAAAAGTAACTACCATGTTTCAATATATTTTATTACGTAAAATTTATATGTATAGGAAATAAGCCATAATCGAGGCCATAATACTGTTTTTGCAATATGATTTTGTTAGAAATTGAATTGAGCATATTTTAAGAGATATATGATGAATTTTAATACAATCATTTATTAAAGTTATTTAGTTGTAAAAAACTGATTGCTTGATAATATTATGTACATAATAATATGAATAGATAAAATGAATATATAAATAATATCTTAGATATTTACTCACAAACATTTATGAATTCCAAGTAATAAATTATATTGAATGATAGGGTTAGCACAGTTTTATAGATAATTTATTATATTACTATTTAATAGTTAATCATACACAAAATATTTCATAGTGTGACACGAATAACTTGGACATTGTTTAGAGTTAATTATTTACAGTAGAACATGTGTGTCACCCTTAAATAAATAGGTATATAGTTTGCTGGTAGTGTTTCGTAGTAATGGACTGGTAAGTTTAGCCATAAAAAATAAAGAACTTTATGGGTATATAAATAGATACATGGTATATTGGACACTTCGAAGCATACACGGGTATAAACTTTATTCGTTACACTTAAATGTCATTAGTTCAAACAACTTGTTATTCTGATAGGTTTGTTACTTTTTTAATTCTATTTACTCAAAATTTATTCAAAATCCAATGTAAACTTATAATTATACAATTATAATTAATTAGAATATTATATAAATCATACATTATATTGGAAGTTTGTTAACTCTGTTAACATAGTAATATACCTAGAAAGAATTCCTTATTTATTTCATCTTTATAAGGGAACACTAAAAATAAGCAAATTTGCTACTAGCCTATCATGTTTACAATTGTGCATTCTATGTGAGCGCGGCCAAACTATGTTAGTACTCAGCCATAAATTAGAGTTATTACTGTTTTGTTTACTGCTGTTTGGTATAAAAATGACAATATATTTGTTATATATCATTGTAAGTTTCATATGAATATTTAAAAAGCAATGTTTAACCATCGTACCTGTCATGTCATTATTATTCTACAGTATAGTGTTCGACAGAGTTTGAGGTTAGATAGAATAATATACCTATGTTATATATCATTTTTGTCACAAGGGCAACACCTTAACGCCTACGTATATATCGTTATATCTTTTTGTTCAATTTTTGCTTCATGAATCAAATAATTTCAGTATGAGTACCTCTTTTAATAAAAACTATGAACTAATTTAGGGCGTTGTAAAGGTAAGCTGTACAATAAAATACTACTTTAGACCATAGATAAAATAAAATAATCTTCTATTAAGATAGATATGAAACTTAATAGTAAAATATTGGGTCAAAGCGCCCCTCCGTGTTCTTAGTAGAGACTACGTTTAACCCAGCGCCTTCGCCTTTTCTGCTGTAAATATTTTTTATGTTTATATTTGATTTCAAAGGATTTAGTTTTAAAGTTACACTGATATATTAATATATCAGAGTAACTTTAATAAAACATTAGAATATATATATATATATTTTACAGTTTATTAAATATAAATTTTGACTACAAGGTAGATAGTAAATCACAATATTTGATAAAACTTATAAGTATACCATTTTTACAGTTAATAAATAATAAAACTATTTCTAACTATGATATTTAAAATTTAGATAGATAGAATATTAAAAACATACCGGTATTTGCAGACGCAGGCCCAAATTCAATAAAAACCAAAATTTTTCCTGCGAAAATCGGGCTTTTTTCACAGAAAAGGTATTTTTTGATTTATCAACAATCACTGTCAAGTTGACAATATACAGGGTGTTTTCTAATTAGTCTAAAGAATTGTGGTGTGATTCCTCACGTGTTCTTAAAACAATTTTTATATAACCATTAGGTCTAAAGTACTTCTTTTCTGATCTACAGGGTGTTAAAAATTTAAAAAAATCGATATTTTGCTTAACATAAATGGTACACTACTGCTTTTTAAAGAAAATATATTTTTTTCTTGACTGGCCATCCTTTTTCAACAAAATTGATCTTTTGAGTTTTTCTTGTTCATCAAACGGTTGCCGAGAAAAAAATGAATATACTTATTAACAGCCCGCCTTAAGTCGTTTTCTAACGATATTTTATTTTTTAGATTAATTAGGAAACACCCTGTATATGCATATCACAGGCAACCAAATAAACTAGTAACCTCTAAAAATTATTTTTCCTACCACTAGCAACATACCGTGTTTTTAGTGAGTACTAAATTATTTTATCAAAATTTCACCATATTATTATAAGTTTCCAGGCAATGATTTTAGACTTCTATATATCAATGATATACTATATCGTAACTAAGGAAACGGTACGTAGACAACAAATTTGTTTTGTTATTGTATATTTGTGCATTCTACATTCTATGTGGGCGCGGCCAAACAGTGTTAGTATTCAGCTATAAATTAGAGTTATTACTGTTTTGTTTACTGCTATTTGGTAAAAAAAAGACAATATATTTGTTATATATCATTGTAAGTTTCATATGAATATTTAAAAAGCAATGTTTAACCATCGTACCTGTCATGTCATTATTATTCTACAGTATAGTGTTCGACAGAGTTTGAGGTTAGATAGAATAATATACCTATGTTATATATCATTTTTGTCACTTAAGGGTAACACCTTAACGCCTACGTATATATCGTTATATCTTTTTGTTCAATTTTTGTTTCATGAATCAAATAAACTCAGTTTGCGTACCTCTTTTAATAAAAACTAATAGACTAATTTAGGGCGTAGTGCAGGTAAGCTGTACAATAATAATCTACCTTAGTCTTCTGTATATCAATGATAATATAATATATCGTAACTAAGGAAATGGTACGTACACAACAAATTTGTTTTGTTATTGTATATATGTATGGTATGTGATTACTGTTTAAGATGTATTATTTGCAAATAAGAACACTTAAATGGATTTCTGTTGGAACGCTTAAGAAAAAAAGCGTTTTTCTGGATATTTTTTTAGTTATATTATAGAATAATCATAGAAAAATAAACACACGGGGAAAATAGCGTATACACCTAGTTTACGGTACGGTTAATACATTCCATTGTAAGTTCGTTGGCTTGTTAGGGCAGGGTGTACCTAGGCGAGCGCGTGTGGGCGACAGCAAGACCTGTCAAGAATGGGAAAACATACAGGGGTGACACCGGCGACAGGGTATCATCCCGTACACGGGACAAGCACAGATAGCATGGGGACTCTTGCAAGGTCCAAAGCGAGGCGGTGCAACAATCGCATGCATATTGGTGAAGGGTTAAACGGGGTGGGGTGGCGATACATGTACCTCTCTTGCCATCACGGCATCGTCGTGGTGCGGCCTGTTTCCGGCCGCGGCCGCGTCCTGCTGCACTCCCGCACTCACTGGGTTGTGGGTGGGGCCCCGAGACGCCACGGCCCCTCGCTACCTTTGCTTTTTCCCGTCTCGACTCGTCCATTTCCGGGCACAATGGCTGGCTGCCGACTCTGTGACCCACCGTGCGGACTGCTCGCGCGCCCCCTGCCGCCCGATCGATATAAGGGCCTGGCATCAACGCCGGGGTTGTGACTCCGCGACAATTTCGTGTGTATATTTCCGAGGTCGGATTGTACTATCCATGGCTGGGTAACTTGATGGAAATGGCAGTTCGTTAAAAATAGGTTCTTCCTCCAATAACCAGAGTGCGCAAAAAGTCCAAAACCGTCAATATTAACAATAATAATGTCGGTAATTTGATTTTTATATGATAGGAGACGCTTTTGTTGTGATTTTTACTGTTTGATTTCGATTTACACTTTCGAATTATTGTATGATAATTAAATTCCTAACCAGAGCTGCAAGCTCACAGGAAACTTAAGTCTTTTTTGATTTAAGTCATTTTTCGAAAGCTAACATTTTGGAAATAATTTCTGATTTAAATCTTTATTCCGAAATATAAAAGATGTCATTAAAAAAGATTTAAATCTTTTTTATAAAAGACTAAGTCATTAAAATATTTATGTCTTTTTATAAAAGACTTAAGCCAGATTTTTATATATTTTATGATACATTTTAACAAACAGTTAAACTGTTAGGCGGCAGCCATGCAGTGTAAAAAGCAATGCTCAATAACACTAGTAAATAAAATATTAGGTTTTTGGAACCGGTTTCGATTATTTGTCGTGTACTGAGTCTGTTGTGTTTCAGGTGAATCTCCCGACTCCGTTATGTAGCCCGATAGACAAACTAAAGAAAATTATCTCGAATAATATATTGAAGAGTACCTTAAAATCCTCCAGCCCTTACTTGCCATCGATATATTACATAGTGATCAAAATACATCACCACTTTTTAATAGACATGTATTCGATGACATCTGTGAATGGACACATATAAACTACTACAAAATCGGTTAAATTTTATAAAAAAACATATTTTTGTGTTTGTAGTTGTTCTGAAAATTAACCGTTTTATTTTATGTAGTTTTAGTCTCATCTGTACCTACAATACATTAATTTGCTACTTAGTAAGAAAATCGGTAATTAGTAATACAAGAAAATTCATATTATAGTCTGTCCAACGACAAGATCCTTGACAGTGATAGATGTGTCTGTCATTTTATTTTCAAATTAGTTTATTTTATTTTACAAAGAAATAAGTTGGTACAATTGGAACGCATAGCAAAAAAATTAATATATTTAAAATTTGAGTGACAAGTGATTACTTCAAAATATTGTGAATAAAACTGTATAAAATTGAGAAAATCTAATCGAGTTATTTTATTAAAAACAATAATTACAGTATGTGTTAATACAAAACAAGCAAGGGGTGTATTTAAAAACACATATCAAAAATGATTTTCTACTTTCAAGCCGTGTTTCAAGCTCAAAGCAACTTCCTGCATTTATCGTTACATTGTTACATTTATCAATATAATTATTCAATATGATTATTATTTACCTATCGTGTGCTGCTAATTTACAGACACTCCAGTTTTTGGTATCATATACAAGATAGTATACAAACTTTATTTGTGGGTAATACATCTCTCTGGTCATAATCTCTGGCAACTGTCTCTGGCGGTCTCTAGGCACCGAATATTAACTGTAAACTATGGTCTGGGTCAACACTTAATTTTCCCGCAGGTTTTCCTCCACACAATGCAAAATATTTATCATTTCTATTTGACACAAAATTATAACCTATAAATTGGCAAGACTTTGACAACTCTCAAAAATCAAGACGAGTTCACAGGCATCGGCGTTCGTTTGTCGTTCACCTTTCCGTCAAACCAATAATATTTTTCAATTTTTCAATTTCAATTTCAAAAGTACTTTATTGTTTAAAAAATATACAAATTTTTGTTAACAAAGCATAAATATTCCTAAACCTAAACCTAAAATAAAAAAATTGTGTATAATATAAGATAGAAATACATCCATTTAAACAAACAAACAGTATTCAGAAAAATAGGTGTAAACAAGTAAGTAAAATAACATATACAATATACAGAATAAAGAGAAAATTAAAAATAACGCTAAAAGAATAAGTTAGACTAACAAGCAATTCTAGACTCTAAACACTAATATCAAGGAGCCCCGGTAGAATTCAATAACGCTGTAAAATGCCCTATTTCAAAGTTCCTTTTCAGTAGTCTCCGGAAGGTTTTTATGGAATTAACCACTCTTAAAGCAACCGGCAGATGATTAAAGATCTTTCGGCCCTCATATATTATAGATCTTTTGACCAATGTGCTATTTGGAAGTGGTAAGGGCAGATTCAGGGTTTGGCGGGTAACAATATTGGGTATAGGACCCTGTAGTCTGATACGATTTTTAAAAATAAGGGACGATGTTTCCAGAATAAAAAGATATGGTAGTGTAAGAATTTTTTGAGCTTTGAAGTGTTGTCTACAGGATTCGTTAAGTGGTACATTTACAATAAATCGTACGGCCTTTTTTGTAAAATAAAAAAGAATGTTTAGTAGACCCTGATTAGCTACACCCCAGAATGGTATTTCATACCGTAGATGAGACTCAAACAAACTAAAATAGACCGTCCTTGCCACTTGTGAACCCAGTTCTTCCCTAATTGCCCTAACAGCAAAGCATCCAGAAGACAACTTGCCACTTAAGGCCAGAATATCGTCTTCAAATCGCAGATTTCTATCAATAATAATTCCTAGGAATCTAGTCGCAGGAATTCCTGCAAGCAAAACCCCCTCGAAATGTAGATTTGCGATGTCACATCTAAGCCCAACAACATGCGTCTTGGATAAATTTAAACAAAGGTGATTTGAGTTAAACCACTTTTAATGAAGGATAAGTCCTTGCTTATGATTCCCTTAAGATGCTCAATGTTCTTGGCCTGCCATAGTGATGATCTGCCATTTTTTGAAATAAACCAATAAAACTGGTTACAAAAAAACAAAGATGACGCATGACGGATTTTATATAAACCCATCCATAGTTAACTTAAAAATATTAGAAACTTTTTAGTTAAATAAATGGATTGGTATGGACGTCATCTGCATTTTTTGTCATCGTCTGTCGAAATCTTACCTGAGAAAAAAAAAAACATTAGTTATAACATTTAAAAAATGTACTTAAATTGAATTCTGGGTATCTTGACTTGAGGGTAATTATATAGATTTAAGTCATTTTACTAACTTAACTTGCAGATCATCATGATTTAAGTCAAAAATATAGACTTAAGTCCACTCACAGAGTCCACTTAAATAACGTTATATTGATTTAAGTCTTTACAAAAATGACTTGACTTGAAATAAAATGACTTATGTCAATGGCTTAAGACTTAAATCATTTGAAATTTATGTTGAATTTGACTTAAGATTTAAATCATTTTAATTTAGAAATGACTTAAGTCTTTTTAAAACCTTAGATCTTATACACCGAGAGCTGGCTACATAAAAATCCTTATCATCGTTACATGGCTAATTTTTTTTTTGTGTGAAGTATCCTTTTGTGTAGCCATTGTGAAATAGTCATGTCTGTCAGCGCGATCCCGGGGCTTAAAGCAGGGGCGGCCAATCGAAAGGTGAAATTTTGACACTAAAATTATTATAAGGTACACAAGTTATAATTGCCAAATAGCTTTTATTTATTATTAGGAAACGTGTAAAATTGTTGACAGACATTTTTCTCGTGGCTGAAATGCCGGTAGACAACGAAAGAGGCATAGAATTTTGACAAAAAAGAAAATCATCCCATACATGCATGTCGGTTGGTGGAATGTCATGTTTATTGTTAATTTATTTAAAAGCCGTATGCAAAAGGACAGACAAAAAAATCGTTATTGAAATAATAATAAAAAATATATTTATAATATAATCGTATATTATATGATTTATCTATACTTAAATGGATGAGGCGGCCAGCGTTCCCTGAATAAAGCGCTAGAGTAATATCGCGCTTTTGATAACTGTCTGCAGCTGATTGAGCCACGATCTTTTGTCTCATGTCCTTTTGCATACGGCTTTTTAAAATAAATAAATATGACATTTCACCAATCTGCATGCAAATATGCCATAATTTTTTCATTCTTCAAATTTCATTTTTTAATCATTTTAAATTTCTGTGCCTCTTTCGCGTTGTTCGTCGGCATTTTAGCGACTAGAAAAAATGTGTGCCAACAATTTTCCACGTTTCTTAATAATAAATAAAAAGTTATTTTCGCAATTATAACTCATGTATCTTATAATATTTTTAGTGTCAAAATTTCACCCTTTCGATTGGCCGTCCCCGCTTTAAGCCCCGATCGCGCTGGCAGGCTATTTCATAATGGCTACACAAAAGGATACTTCACACAAAAAAATTAGCCATATAACGATGATAAGGGTTTTTTATGTAGCCAGCTCTTAGACTGTTATTTTTAGAACTGATTTGTGCAGCTCTGTTCTAACGTTTTTGTAACAACGGTGTGACAATTTGAGGAGGTAGGGTCCGAAAGACACATTAGTAAATAAATTAAACATACCTATTAATATATATTTTTTAAGCTAATACTGTGAATGGGGAAACAAAAAAAATCACTTTACTAGCAGATATTTAACTTTATTTTAAGGTACATAGATTACGCGTTGCGCTGTTAGCAAGATCAGCAGATAATTTAAAATAATATACAGGGTGGTCCAAACTGTATTCCGAAAACTTCGGCAGCATATTCTTCAGATAAAAATAAGTAAAAAAGTTCGTAAGTATGTCCTCAAATGCTTAGTTTCGGAGATACAGGTTGTAGAAGTTTCATTTTTATTTCGATTTTTTCCAAATAATTCCTGAAGTAACATCAATATTTGGATGACAATTGGTGTCTGGAAGTTTTTTGCCATGAGAAATTT